TACTGAACTTGAGACTTTTTATTGTTGTTATTTTGAAGAATGTAAGTCAGTCACAATGTGAAAAGTATAACTACAAAATGATTAGGGTTCTATCTAAATGCATTATAAGGATCTGTTATGTTTGCCATTTACCAAATCTGTAGAAAATAGTTTTAAAAGTGCTTTCATGCAGTGCTTTTTTAGTCATATTGCCCAATAAAAATAATCAAAAATAATACCTTCAAATCAAAGTATTTGCCTCTGTGGGAAATATGATGTGTTTGACGTGCCTGCAGTAATATTTTCATCACTGAAGACTTCTGTGGAACTATGCACAGTGAGAAAAATGCTTAAAATTCTCAGCAGTAAATCCCTAATCCATGTTAAGTCTGTGTTGTTCACTTCCTCCAGACAAAATAGTGTTAATATTTAGATGCATCAAAAAATCATCCCGTATCAAATATCTTCTTGGTAAACAATGAACTACTGATTTTAAGACCTACAGTTGTTTGCTTCTCAGTGATATAACTATGTTGTTCTACAATGGTTAAGTACATTGTAAAGTAAAGGGAAGTCTACTTTGGTTTTATTTTTCAGTAAAATGGAGCAATCTACCACTATAAGTTCCATTATAGCTCAACCCAGCTCAGATACTTGTAACATAGAGATGCATTATCCATAGATTTTGGTTGAAAAAAATCAAGCAATATATGCCTAAGTACAAAAAAGATGTATACTTTGAAATGTTGCAAAGAAAAGAAATAAGTTACTAAGAACCAGTGGTGGGTTGCTATTGGTTCACCCCGGATCAGGCAAACCGGTAGCGGCAGCAGGAGGCTCTGCCCACCTGCACATGCACAGAAGTGTTGCGCACACATGCACAAGCATGCACACACACACACACACACACACACACACACACACAAGCGAACCGGTAGCAAGCTAAATTGAAACCCACTACTGCTAAGAACTGCATATAAAAACGAATATTAAAATCAAGTCTCATTTGAGTGAAGCTTGAGTCCTGGTGACCTCTTGGACATGGTTGGGTAGTTGTCTTGGAAATAGTATAGAAATTATTTGCCATTGCTTGCTTTTAGGATATTTTTTAACATCTCAGTCTTGCTTACAGATATTATATTGCAGGATTGCTTTTCTTTAATTGTTTTTACCTATTCTATAATATTGCAATGCTTGACTGCAATGCTATTGTTAAGCATTGCAATAAGGTTGCAATGCTTTACTGATGGGTGGATGTATCTTTTTATGGGATCCAGGAAGTGTAGCTCCTCTGCAGCTATGCTTACTCTGACCATATAGATCTTTAGGAAGGCACTTAAACCTGGCTCTTCCCAGAGACATTGGATTTGCATTTGTGCAAACCCACTAATTGTGATGCAGGTTGCTTCTTCTCAGTATAGTTGCTTTTTTATTATTTGTTTAACTTGTTCTTATTTCTGTAAGTTGCCTAAAGTCATTGGTGAGTGGGCAGCCTTAGAATCTGACTAAGAAAAGAACAGAAAAGAAAAAGCAGATTTTCTTGTGATTTTTTTTTAAAATCTAACAGATAATTAAAGAAAAATAAGAAATTCTGGCACAGACCATATTTAGACCCATCTAAATATTTACACAATTTTAGTGATGGTGATTCCAATTATTTTTCTACAGTTAAATTTTTTACCATAGATGCCTTGTTTAGTTTGGCACACAAATGACTTAAAATTAGCACCACACCACACCTCCCAACAGATTGGCAGAGTATAAATTCCATCTGTCATTTACACTGAGCATGTATTGAAAACTTTAAATTGTTGCAGGTCAGGATACCTTTACTTGCCTCATACATTTCTTTTCAAATGAGTTTGACTTGCTGAATTCACATTGCATTCTGTAGGAAGTTAAGTGATTCCTTTTAGATTGTTTTTAGCTAGTGTTCTTGTAACATCTTATACAAGAAACTGTGTAAGTGGGAACATGAGCTAAAAGTTGTAACAATTATAAATTCTTCAGGTTGACTATGGTGTATGGTCATGTATTAAGCCAAATGTAGAAATACATTTTGCGGAAGGAAATTGTGTCAAGACTTTAAGAGCCCGAAATGCCTTAATGAACTGAGAAATAGGATCTTTGGGAAACAGTTAAAATAGGCATGTTAAGATATTGTTCTCGTTTCTAATGAGAAAGAGAATAGGTAGCTGATAGTGATTCCATTACTATCTGATGAGGCGATTCTTTTACATAAATGTCTCATGCCTTATACCTCTTTTCTCAACTGTTTTATGCAGGGAAAATATCAAGATACTGTAATTAATTTTTTTTACAGCTTTAACATTTTACAGCATTAACATACAAGGTTTTTTTTTAAAGTTTTATGTTTACTTGGATATTATCAAAGACAGTACGCATGAGATTTATCTGGTCACTTAATATCAATCTGCTTTTGTTGAAACAAAATTTGTACTTTTCAGTCCCATATATTTTAACAGATTATATGTTTGTATTGTACTGGATTGCATTGCATTTACTATATTAGGTAACCTTTCTCTTTCAGTCCAATTCACCTCACAAGGTTGTTGTTGTAGGGAAAATAGGAGGAAGGTGTGTTGGATATGTACACTGCCTTGAGTTATTTGTATAAATATAAAGATGGGATATAAATAAATAAAAATATTACTATATGAACACATTACATGTAGTGTAGCCATTTGCAAAGATAACAGATTGTTCCAATAGAACAAAACTAAAATTGCTGAAGGAGTTGTAGCAGTGCTGTAACATCAGTTGATCAAAGACTTTGTGTGATATATTTTATTAGAAAGCTTTCCTTTGCATTCATTTCTAGCACACTAGAATTTTTATTTTTATTTTTTGCATTTTAAACCTGAAAAATATTTTTCTGAGTTGTCTGTGGATATAATTTGTCACATCTGTGCTTTCCACATCTGGCATTACATGGGCTATATAGATCAGTCAAAAGTATTGAGAATCATATCTTGACATATGGTATCTCAACAAGCTTTTAGTTTACAGGATATAAAACAATTATTTAACTACAGTATAAGTGCTTTGTATCCTCATGTCATCAGTGAGGAAACTTTTATAAAATTGGCAATTTAAGAAGCTGTGGATTTCCCCTCTTTTTTTTTTTTGCTCTATTTCCTTGTAGCTAATGAAAAAGGAGCAATGGAATACATTTTAAATACATACTCTCTCACAATAATTTAATAAACTGTGGTGCCATCTCATGAAGAATCGGGGTGGTTGCCTTGGTGACAGAGATTATCCTTGCTGCTGCAGGATTCTGGCAGTTTTCTAAAAATGAATTCATAATATTTTGGATTTGTTAAAAATATGCTTTTCTGATGGAGATAAATTGCATCCTTTCAGCTGGCCATGTAATGCTTCTATAAAAATACAACTGCTTTAGCAACTCAGCAAAAAGATATTATGTGATTAGTTGGAAATTAAAGTGCATGCTATTTTAAAAAGTGAAAGGAAGCTTTGGAGAATGTGATTCATTCCACATTAATTTTTTAGCATTCCTTTAGGTTGCTGACTGCCCACACTAACCTCCAAATAATTTCTGTAGGATCCAGTCTCCTTGTCAACAGTGCTACATTTTGACAGCCTTGCATTTTGGAGAAAAAAATCCACACAAAAAATGGTATATTAAACCTAAAATAGATTGAGCAGGGTTTTTGTAGAACAACACAAAACTCTAGCCAGAAAGTGGATGCCATTCAACTCACTCTATATCAGTTATTCACTTGCTGTTTCTGGCCACTAAAGGTGGCACCTGTTTGCCACAGGTGACTGGCTTACCTCTGCCCTTCTTATAAAAATGTATCAGCATGACTAGGAATTGATCATCATGGATTAATGATTAGGTTAAGTGGCCTAGACTTCAAACCTCCCCCCCACCCCATTCACCTATTCAGGTGACCCATTAGTTACTTCAGTTTCTCAGATTTCAAATTTTAAAAAGAGCAAATTTCACATCCCATTCTATTCTATTCTATTCTATTCTATTCTATTCTATTCTATTCTATTCTATTCTATTCTATTCTATTCTATTCTATTCTATTCTATTCTATTCCATTCTATTCCATTCCATTCCATTCCATTCCATTCCATTCCACTCCATTCCACTCCACTCCACTCCACTCCACTCCACTCTATTATTGGCTGCTGACTGAAAACCCAATAACACTAATTTTGAGCAGTGCTTTTTTCAAAGGGTAAACTTATTTATTTATGAATCTATTTATTTATATCCTATTTTTATTATTTTTATAAATAACTCAAGGAAGTGAACATACATAATATGTGTTTAGTGGGAATAGTTGATCAAGATCCTCTGAAATCTTAACATCTTGTTGGTACTCACAGAGGCAAACTATTCCAACTCTTAAGAAAAATTCAGCAGGCTCACTTTTTAAAGCAAACTTGCTCATTTCATGCTGTCTGAACCACCAGAAAAACCACAACATATTGTACTTATTATTTTCCAATTTTTGTGACCAACAATCTGTAGGGAAATGTATAGGAAAGATAATGTATTATGGAAATCTAATATCTATAACTAGAATTATATATGAAAATCTCTATATGTGACAGTTTCTCCCATCAAGAGTTATCACAAAGGGTAGGTCTAAAACCAAACTTGGAATCTGCTTGAACTGGAACAGTAAAATCCAATCTGTTGCAATCTGATTAGACGCAGAGCACCTTACCCAAGGAAATTTTTCTTCACATCTTGGGTATATTTTCAGGCAAAGCCACTGAAAGAAACAGCAAAATGTATCACTATCACTAGGAAAATGGCTAGGGGCAGTTCCATTACATTTCTCTGAAAGCCAATTCTGAACTGAATGTTGAGGTTTTACCTTAAGTGATTTTTTTTTTGATGGAATACATTTTGAAAGCAGAAATCCAACCAAGAGCAAAGTATAAGGAGTATCTCTATACTTCAAACATAATATTTTAATCATTATGCCTCTGTAATGTTTTCTCTGTTCCAGAAATCCAGATAGACAAGGCTGAAAAAATAGAGAAGGTAGAAAAGAAGCCAACACCAAAAGGTAATATTATATCTATTTGAGTATGTATATATTCTGTACATTGGCAGATCTGGTTTAGCACTCTCTTGCACAAACACATGCAAAGGGGTTATAGTCGATGCCCTTGAGCTCATTGTTGATGTCAGCAAGCATAAAATGCAAGCCTGGAAACCAATTCTACCAGAACATGCATTTTTTGTTGCCTAAGTTATCAAGAAGAATCAAATGCCTATTCAACATGGTCTCCTCTCATTTTTATTGGAAAATAATCCACAACAGCATACAGGAAAAAACCTATTCATTCCTATCCACCCACCCCCAAATTGTGGATAGTTAAAATGGGACATATCAAGGATGATGTCTTATCCATGGTGAGTATATTATTGATCAGAACTTCCTATATTTCAATTGTGCATTTGTCAACTTTGATGTATTTGCACTGGACTTCCTTCACAGTGTTCAAACCATAACAGTTTCCTTTTCCTCTAATTAGCTGGTTTTCTTCTTTGCTTGTAGACATTCAGAGAGACAAGGGAAAGGAAAGGGAAGAGAAAATAGAAAAGAAACTACCGCTCAAAGGTAATTAGTTTCATTTATTTTATAATCCAAATATTTTATATACAAGAAGAACATACAAAACTGCCCCAAATCTTGGGAAACATAGACAGTTTACATGAAGAAACTTTTTGCACAATAGATTTTCCCATGAATAGAATAGAATAGAATAGAATAGAATAGAATAGAATAGAATAGAATAGAATAGAATTCTTTATTGGTCAAGTGTGACACATCATAGAACTGCTCTGGAAGAGTAATGTGTTTGGTGGTTGTTTCATCAGCTCACTCATAAATACCCCTGGATATAACCTGTGATTAAAATAATAATCAGACAACTAAAAACAGATGAAAGCTTTAAGGATACCTTGAAGGAAATGCCTATATCTTTCTTAGTCAGATTTGGTGAAGAACCTATAACCGTGATGGTGAACCTATGGCACGCGTGCCACAGGTGGCACGCGGAGCCATATTAGTGGGCACGCCAGCTCAGCTCTGGGGTGCATGCGCGTGCCGACCAGCTGATTTTCGGGCCTTCTGGGCCCACCAGAAGTAGGGAAACAGGCTGTTTCCTGCCTCTGGAGGGCCTGGGGGGGGGGAAGGCCCATTTTTCTTTCTTACCTGGCTCCAGATCCTCTCTGTGTATCTGGGAACGGCGAAAACAGCCTTTCCCACTCCCTTGGAGGCCCTACGGAGGCTGAAAGGGCCCATTTCCCCACTCCCGGTGGGACAGGAAGTGATGTTTTTTCCTGTCCCCAGCCTCCAGAGACTCCTAGAGAGGCTCCTAGAGACTCCTAGAGAGGTTCTGGAGGCTGGGGAGAGCAAAAAATGTCACTTCCTGTCCCACCCATACACAGAGAGGATCTGGAACCAGGTAAGAAATAAAAATGCGCCTACCAGGCCATCCTGTGCCAGGAGCGGTGGGGGGGAAAGGGGAGGGGGTTGTGCACACATGCGCATGGGCATGTGCGTGCGCAACCCTCCCCCGCCCCCCCTCTCCTGGCACACGATGGCAAAAAGGTTAGCCATCACTGACCTATAACAAGGAGATCTATCTCAAACATAAGAAGAACGGTTGCAGGAATTGGGTATGTCTAGTTTAATGAAAAGAAGGACAAGGGGTGACATGATAGCAACATTCCAATATCTAAGGGACTGATACAAAGAAGAGAGGGTCAACCCGTTTTCCAAAGGACCTGAAGGTAGGACAAGAAACAGTGGATGAAAATTTATAAGAGAAGCAACCTAGAACTGGGGAGAAATTTCCTGACAGTTAGAACAATGAAATCAATGAAATGACTTGTGTCCAGAAGTTCTGGGTGCTCCAACACTGGAGTCTTTAAAGAAGAGATTGGAATTTGTCTGGTGTGGTATAGGGTTTCCTTCTTGAGCAGAGTTTTGGACTAGAAGACCTCCAAAGTCCCTTCCAACTCTGTTATTCTGTTATTAGTTTAGCAGTTTCTTCCGATAGAGGCTAATCAGATAACAAAATACTGAAGAATTAAAGAGTGAAAAATTTCATTGATTGAAAAATTAATATCTTGGCTAAGTCTTTATGAACACTTCAAATAAAGATGTCTTTGTTAACATTTGCTTTTTTTTTTAGCTACATTAATAAAGCATTCTGAATATATTACCTTTGTCTATACAAAGACAGACCTTTTAGAATAGGCTTATTTAATATGAGTGTTTAAAATCTGTATAAGATTTGTTCTTTCTTTATATGTTTCATTTTCTTTTTATTTCATTTTCTTATTATTTTTATCATATTACACTCTGAAAATTGGAGCTATTGCATTGATCAGAAATGGCACTAAACCATGGTAGGACCTTCTGAGCACTGGTTTAACAGCACAAAGAAAAATGGAAGAAATGAAAGCTGGCAGTATCATTTGAGTCTGCAAATGCTGAATTTTTTAGTCTTTTCACCTGGATTGCCATCGGCTGACCCATTTCTGCCAGGGCCACCTGCTGCTGTCTGCCATTTGCTAAACTGAGCCCAGATTAACTTTTGACATTTGATTGCAGCTGCTCCCAAAGCTGCAGTGGCTGCACTTAAGAGCTTCAAGATTCTATTTAATGTGTAGTGGGCAGCAATGGGCAACATGCAAATAATTTCTTGCGTGTCCAATTCATTCCAAGCTTGCAGGAAGACAACAAATTGTTTGCCACAGGCTCGCTCTAACTATGCAAATTAGTGCTTAATTATGGCTATTAACAATATGGCCCTTCCTGGATTATCTCAGTCTTGAAGAGAATAATGTGGAGTAAACTAAATTAGGAAAAAAAGAAATATGTTTTAATTTGTGCCAAGGTGTTAATTTTTAATATGAATGTGTATGTGTATACACACACACACACAGATTTTTAAAAAACATTGCATTGCAAATATGCCAGTTTAAGACAATGTTTTGCTTAAAGTTTTTTAAAATGAAAACCTACATCAGTTTGAAGAATTGATAAACATAAGAAAAGAAAGAAAAAGAAAAAACACAACTTTGTAAGTACAATTTTAAAAAGCTAAATAGATCTATCCCAAAATCTGTCTTTAAATAGTGATAGAAGGTAATATATTAAGAATACCTCGTTAATATAATTAAAAAATAGAAAGCAAATATCAACAAAGCAATCTTTAACTGAGGTGTTTTAAGCCTTAATATATCAACATATACATTTGCCTAAATACTGGATTAGTAAAGCGGTGATATTGCTTCTGCAGACAGTACCAAATTACCTTGCGCCCTTTCCTTATTTCCTTATTTGCTCTTGTTTTTATAGGTTTCTCTATATTCTTGCTAATGTCCCAACACTAATACTGCAGAAGACTGTACAAGGCCATGCTTTATCTCAGGGTGACATTTTGCTCCACAAAGGTCCTTTGTAAAATTGCAGGTGTGATAAAATTCATCTCACTGAGCTGAGGAGGCCATGCAACCATAGTCAAGGCACTTTACATTCTTTTAAAACCTCATAAGTTCTCAAAGCAATGCTCTTCGCTTCAGGAACCTTAGTACGTCAAGATGTTTCAAACAGGTGCTCCACACAGACCACTAAAGTGAAGCATTTCTTTGGAGCTTTGCATAGCACCATCCTTTAAAAAGTCAACCCACTTTCAGCAGACACTCTTCTCTTTAAATAAGCATTGATAGCAATGTGACAGAGGCCATGCAGAAGAATTTGGGGGAAGGGAAATAGTGTGTGAGTCTAGATGTTTACTTAACTAAAGTATACAGTGTATACTTTACACTATACTATACTATATGTATGTATGTATGTATATGTATATACAGTGTGTGTGTGTGTGTGTGTGTGTGTGTGTATAAATTCCCGTATAGAATTTTCATGGAGATCGTAGAGGGACTGGCCTTGGGTTAATAAACATAGGCTTGTGAGATACGGTATATTTAGCTGGCATTTTTTTTAGTTTGATCTGTTTTCATTAAACTAGAGATGATTATCTCTCCCAGAAGAAGGAGAAAGTGATTACTCACTTGCATAATTCTAATGTATACAAATGATTTTAATTTAAAACTGCTTGTATAAATTAGAATGCCATAAAACAAAGCCAAGCAATATAGGTATTCCTAGAATATTGTACACAGCCTCAGGCTCGTGGCAACTGCATTTAGAGGCAGTTAAAGGCTGAGCAGGAAATAAATGGATTAATAACATTTTGGTATATGTCTAGGGGAAGTCAGGCAAGGGGGCTTCTGCTCTCAATTTAATGCTTCTACCCAAAATATTGCATATGACAGTAGCTTCAATAGCATTTGGAATTGTTTTCTGAGATTAATTTTCAGAGTGCCTAAAAGTGTGCCTGCTTGTTTCCTAAGAATGAAAACCAGGAGCTATTTATGGTTCTAGGACTTTTTCCAACTAGTCTTTAATTACTGGCTAAGAGTTAAAGAGATGCCAAATTTCCTTCCTAAGATATGCTTACAGGAGCAACTAAGCTAAAGGTGACACCTGGCATTAGCACGTGATGCTATTGATACTGAAAATGGGGTTCTCGAACATTTACTTTGTGCATCAACATAGTGCAAATGTCAACCTTGAAATTAAGACTTGGATCCAGGATATTTTTATACAAAATTATATTGCCCAGTTTAGGATAAGAAAACTGCACCATCGCTTATGGTTCTCAATAGGATTTTGAGGCTTTGGTCACAGTCTTTTGTTCATGAATGGAGGGTTATGGCACAGGTACAGAAGGGTAAAATTTATATCATGACAATATAATATTGTTTTGGTCATCTGCCCACCTCACACCCTTGCCCTTCTCTGTATACATTATTGCCAAGGTTAAAACGCCTCACGTTCAGAGCTGGATTGGTTCTGAGGGAAGTCGGTAATCTGAGGAGGGGACTGATGCTGGCAAGGTTGGATATCTGTAGTGCCAAAGACAATTTTAGAAGAGAAGCTGGCAGGGATTCATGTGAGTTTGGGTTCTGGTCTTGAGGATCAGGCAACATCGAAGATCTCTGTCACTTACAGCCCCTTCCTTCAAAGTATCAGGAACAATTACCGGTAAACTGCAGACTTCTGTTAGAAGAGACCCGCAAAAGATCAATTCTTTTATGCTTTTTAATACAGATGCCAGAAGGGGATCCACATTCTGCTTAAAGCAGAAAAGGATTGTTAAAATTGTTATACCTTATATTGTGAAAATTAAAGTGAAACAGCTTACAGTTGAAACACTTAAGTGTTTCTAAGTAAACCATTGGTTATAGATTTTATGGTAGCCTATATAAATGTTATGTAAAATTTTGTTTAGCCTTTTATATAAATAGTTTTGCACACTTCACTTGAACAATCTCAGGAAATTTGTAAGCTTACACTGGAACGTCTGGTCAGTGTGAATGGTGTCTCAGAGCTTTAACAGAATTTTGAACATGTGATAATCTTTTATTCTTTATTATTTTACTCTGATTGGTGTGGCTTATGTTCATATAAATAAAACTTGACTTGGGCTTTAAAATTGCAAATCAAGGTTGACGTTAAAAGATGAAAGTGGGTGTGAAAATGAAAATTTTAAGATTTGATCTACTTTAAACTAATCTCACTATACTAGAATTTCTAAACTAGAATTCTAGTTAAAACTTGAAAGCTTTCATTTCATGTATATAGCAGTGGTGGTTTCCTCCCGGTTTGGCCCGGTTCTCCCGAGCCGGTAGCGGTGACGATATGATGTCACCGAACCGGTTCTGCCCCCCCGCCCCCTACCCCTCGCGACCCACCCACCGTGTTATTTTTACCTTTTATTTGGCCCCACCCCCAATCTATTGCTGCCTCCTGAGTCCCAGCTGATGGCTAGAGGGAAAAAACCTGTTTAAACTCTTGCCGTGGGGCTTCAAAGGGCCGCCCTATAGCTGATCAGTGTTAAAAGAAAACAAATGAGTAGACCAGTGCCTAGAGAAATACATGAGTAGATCAGTGCCTGCAAAAGTAAATGGGTAGACCAGTGCCTGCAAAAATACATGAGTAGATCAGTGCCTGCAAAAATACATGAGTAGATCAATGCCTGCAAAAATAAATGGTACAGCTCTACAAGCAGTTAAAAGCCTGGTAGACCAGTACCTCTGCTAAATCCTAAAGAATTGTCACATGACCATCAAGCCATGCCCACAAAATAAGCCACGCCCACAGAACCGGTAGTAAAAAAATTTAGAACCCACCCCTGGTATATAGTTTTCAAAACCATTTACACACACACACACACACACACTGACACACGCACACAAACTAAACAGACACACGCAGAATACACACACGCACACACACACATATATCAGTGTTATACACTATATGTGCTTGTATTGGCTAGAGGCTAGAAAGTGCTGCCTTGATGTCTCTATGAAGCAGTAAATTAACTTCCTAAGTAAAGTGGAATGTAGATTAGTTTATGTAATGAATAAATATATTTTTCTACCGCTCAGCATTGGATGGCAATGTGGTAATTAGTTTGAAAACTCTGCTCTTTGGATCTTGGCATCCTGGTTATTGCACAGTATGCTAATCTCAGTCTGTAGAACAGTGACCATTAGTTCCTCATAAGGACATGGAAAGAGGCATAACTTCAGGCTATGTTCTTATCTAACACAGCAGGTTTTGGCAAAATAAGAAACCTCAAGTTCCAGTGATGATTACACATTTTGACAACTCTTCCTTGGTGACACTGGGTATTCACAGGCCATGAGAATATCAGGGTTTTAGATAAAGCATTTATTTGTTTAGAATGCATGTGTGTGTGTGTGTGTGTGTGTGTGTGTATCTCTTTGTGTATGTGCTCAGACACATGCATTTATAATATTGTTATTAGATGACTGTTTAAGACTTTGATATGATTTAACTTTAGCATTTTGTATTGGTGGAGAAATTGTAAATAGCTGTTGTACGTAGAAATTCTACTGAGGTCAGTATATTTTATTTAAGGGAATAAGCTGTTATAGCAACAGCCACCTGGAGTCTTATAAATAATAGATTAAACAACAAATTGTGGGGAATGGGTTATTCATCAGATATTTATTATTATTTATTATAAAATGTATATCATATCCTTCAAGTGCTTAAAAACCTACAGCAGCTAAGTTAATTCGGTCTAGTTGTTAAGGCACCAGAATAGGAGGAGGAAACTGTTGGATATGTTTGTAATTCATAAAAATAATCAAATTGGGATACAAATAAATAAAATAATACAAATAAAAAACAAACAAAAGATAGCTTTGCATATTTCCTAGGCTACCAGATATTGGGTGTAAAAACTGTGATGATCATTAAATTAAAAAAAAAAACCTCTCTTTGTTATCTAGTTGTCGTTCATATTTTAGCAACCAAGATATGCAAGTTTGTTAAAGGTGTGGGCGAAAGAGTGGGCAGCAGAGAGTGCCCAGTGAGGCTTTATAGCTGCAGGCTCTAAGGTGGCTACCTACTCATCCTTTACTGTACCTATAGCACAGATAAGCTGCTGGAGGAATTGTTGGACTGAGATATGGTTACTAATGTTCTGCTGCCATCAATGAGTCATCCAGAGTTTTACATCCCTGATATGATAGACCAATTCCAATTCCCACAAATTCCAATTTGTTGAATTACAAATCGGTCCCATCTTGCAGTCTACATCTGGTGGCCATAGCCTAGCTTAAAATTACAAATAGCTGTGCCACTGATTTTTTGGCATTTATTGGAGGAAACCTCAGGACTGTAGGTGGCCTTAGGTCTCTGGTGTTGCTGATCTGAAATAGAACAGTTCCAAAGAAAAAAGAGCAATAGTCATCATCATCATCATCAAGTCAAACCACAGAGGTATGACACAAGTTATTAATTCACTAGTATACTATCATATACAGAATCTGTGTGATCCTAACAGTGCAGGCAGTCACCTCCTTAGTAAGTAGATATAGAATTAAACCAATTTCTACTGGGAAAAAAAAAAAACAACCTCAACCCATTTTCCCCAATTTTGTAGTCACCAAATGAAATTCTCAACATTTCCAGTCAGCATAGGAATTTTAGTAAAAAGACAAGAAATAGGGAATGCATTGCTTCTACTTGTATTTGCTTCATCAAATAAATTCAGCCTTGTGTAATAAGGAATATTGTCTGAGGACCAAACACCAAAGTGTTTTTTCTTTGTCAAGCTAGAAATCATTTCCTTAATGAGCTGAACAATTTTCTCACTAGTTTCAGAACGAACTTAAGAATTTTAAGCACATAAACAGGAATGACACTGTGGGTGAACGAGCAGCTGTTTGTGGGTGTTGATTCTGTACGTCCACAGAAAATAGTCCCCCTAGTTAGCTTGATTTAAAAATGCAATGTATCCTGAAGATGTGTGCTTGTCTAAAGAACACCCCATTGTTAACTCATGTCCTTGCAGCTGAACTAATTTCCAAAAATAAAAACTTTACTTGGCAGGCAATGTGGTTTTTTGTTAAGAGTAGAAAGTTGCATTGGTAAATGGCAATGCATTGAGCTAGCAAATCAGCAAACTGATGTAATATAAAAAGTTAGATTATGCAACAGAGGGTAGATATAGCAATAGCACTTAGACTTATAGACACAGTCAGGTTGGAACTCCTGTCTGTGGGCAGAGTTAGCCTGCAATACTGCATTCTAACCACTGTACCACAACGGTTCCTAAGGTATGGAAAACAAACAATAAAAATGTAGAAATATTCATTTTGTCACACCTACAATAAGCACATGGATGGGGGCAGGGGAGATCCCATCATGATGCGTCTATTCTCTATGTATCTATACTACATGCTGATGGGATCCAATAAAATCCTGCATAGGTAACACCTACAAGTAGAGAGGTGAATGCATGTAGACACTGCTTTTATACCTCCTATTCAATATGGAACTATGGTTGACCTACATGTGATGTGATATAACCACTTTTACTCTGATGTAATTAAATTTTCTAAACTGGTACAGTACAGTGGATAGAATCTAGTCTAATATTTGTGTTGAATCTCATTGGTTAACTCAACTTTGTTATGCATGGCTATTATACTTCAAAAGGGCAGTTTTACATCTGTATTCAGTAACATTATTTCATGTTACTCTTCCAAACTGTAGATCACTTAGAAATGTCAATGTATTAATATTGTTATTTATAGAAATTCACAAAGAGAAACCTGAGAAATACGAGAAGCCTAAAAAAGTAGAGAAGACCAAAAAGCTTGAAAAAGTAGAAAAACCTCAAAAAAGGGAACTTACTAAAGGTGAGAACTAACCACTGATCATAACCTTGATAATCAGGTTAACCCTGTGATTGCTTTTTGGCATAGTAGATTGTATAATCCACTGCTGAAGTTTAAGGAACCAAAACCAGAATGGGATACCTTGACACAGTCAACTCGCTGCAGCCAATTCACCGTGGCCAACTCGCTGCAGGACAACTCGCCAAAGCAATGGGACAACTTGCTGTGGGACAATTTAACAATTCAGTTTAACTATTTAAAATAAATTTAAAAATATTTTAATTTTTGGCATTTGCATTTCATTCTGTTCCTCCTTTTGCATCCTTTCTTTATTGATTCTATTCCACCATTTCTTTGATATTAGTGTAACTCTTGTCCTGCAGCAAGTTGTCCCATGGTGAGTTGGCCATGGCAAGTTAGCCATGACAAATTTTCATAGACCCATCCAAAACAGTACTAGAACAGTTTCTGCTCTTTTCAGAAATGTGAATTGTCAGTTTTTCCAACAGATGCTCAGATAAGATGAGATCTAACAGGATTTGTCAGCTCTTTGCTTCCTAACAAAATGGAAAAACCCAACCATATCACCATTGCAAGAGGAAAAAATAAACTCCCTCTTTCTCAACTACAATATGATGAAGACCATAGAGAGCTTGAATCAACAGCAAAGGAACAATATCTGGTTTTAATTCCTAATCAAGTGAAGAACTGAAAGAGAAAATGCGGAAACAATAACAAGACTGGATTTAGAGGAAGGATTATTATCTTTCTGATGAATGTCTATCATTGGATGGTTAGAATACATTCACATTCCTGAATAGCTTCCAACAATTTGCATTCTGTAAGTCAGAATTAGAAGCAAATTTCTAGTCTTCTTTGTCTTGGGTTTTGGAAAAAATTAAATTTAACTTTTTACTATACTTGTGGTTCTGTGCTGCTGCAAATCTACCCACAGATACTGATTTCTATAGAGAATGGCATATTCAATGTAATAAATGGCAAAGCTCACTGGATCCTTCTTTAATAAAAATTCCAACATTTTGGAATCAGACTTCAGTTGATTTATTTGGAAATATATTGATCATAGTGCCACCTTTTTGTACTGATTTATACTGTGACAGTATTGAGGAACATTTCATAAACCAATAAATTAGAAGAGCAATAAGGAGTAACTTCTGTGAATAGGATTTCTATAGAAATCCTATAGTTTCTATATAATCCCATCAAGGGTGTCAAACTTGATTTCATTGAGGCCGCATCAGGGTTATGTTTGACCTCGGGGGCCAGGGTGGGCATGGCCAGCTTGACATCACTTGTTTGATCAAATGCCACTTTTGCTAGTAGTTTGTTTTGCTAGCACCTGACTAGGTGGTTCAGTGGCTAAGACACTGAGCTTGTTGATCAGAAAGATCGGCAGTTCGGTGGTTTGAATCCCTAGTACAGGTCTCCTGTGTGAGCAGGGGGTTGGACTAGATGACCTCGAAGGTCCCTTCCAACTCTGTTACTGTTACCAAACTGAGTCCATGAGGGCCACGTGCAGCCCTCTTGGGCTCCATTTTTGGCTGTGATAGCCCTCTGCAGCCCTGGAGCTTGGGAGGGCTGCATACAGTTCTCCCAGGCTCCATTTTTGCTGGCAGAGGCACCATGGGCCAATACCTCGCTGTTTCCAGGGCAGTCCCGTGGGCCAGATCTAAGCAGATGTGGGCCATATGGGCTATATGTGGCCTGTGGGCCTTGAGTTTGATACCCATGTACTACATGATCATGAACAGAAGGGAAAGTGTAGTAGACTAATGTAGCAAAATAAGACCAATGTCAATAGTAATTCAGAAAATGTAATTGCACCATTTTGGTAAGATGACAATTTTAATTATATAAATATATTTACTTGCTTACAGTAATACACAAAGAAAAACCCGAAAGACATGAAAAAGTTGAAAAAAGGGAAAAACCTGAAAAGAAAAGCAAATATGAAGAACCTGGAAAGATGGAAAAGAAAGAAAAAGCTATAGGTAATTATAATTTTCGTGAATTCTGAAGGTGAACAATTCAAATTGTAATATGAAGCAACCTTAGGAGATAGGGAGAAAATATTCTGTTCCCCAAATCAATTTTTGCTGCGAGATGGAACATGAAGCTATATTTGACTTTCATTTTTATTTCATTGTGTTTCTCGGGAATCAGTTAAAATCCACTACTTAAAAAAGGACCAATTCCTTTTTCTAGATAAGGTTTCCTAGACAAAATATATTCTCTTACGACTTAAGATGAATTCTCTCATTCTTCTGTTATTCTGCTTTATGTAGGCAATCATTGCTTTCATTTGTGGGAAAACAGTGGGTGATTTACACCACTTTCAGTTTTTAAAACCCTAACATTTTATCTGATTAGTTGCAAGCTATTGAAATTTCAGGAAGGGCAGTGACAGAAGAAAAGAAAATAGGTTTTAATTAAAGAAGATAACAAACTATTGTGTTGCAGCACACTAAGCGGGTTTACAGAAGACTAATTCATTTGGCAATTGCCAAATTGTTTATAGACAGTATCATGCTTGGTGTTAATTCCTTTACTCTTTAGGGACTTGGATCACCAAAGTTCAACTTGTTGCCTAATGATAGGCCTTTTGGGGCACCTCACTGCCCTTGCACCACAAAAATATGATTTCCTGTCCAATAATAGTAATACTATTCTCATGATTTTTGCAAAGCTATTTATATTTCACCATATATAAAAAATGTACAACAATATGTTTCTGTTTTTATTGAGATCTTAAATAAAAGTAATGGTGATCTATGAATATCCAGTTCAAGAGAAATCAAAATCAGTATATTACATCTGTGGTGACTGTATTTAATGAGTAGATCTCCAAGTATGCTGCATTTTTCCATTCTTTCTTTTCCCTCTCCCCTACATAGCCCTGAAAATCTGTTCCAGAGGATCCCAAGTCCCCAAAGTAGAATTAGGGGTGCTGAAGCCTGCAGGGAAAGAGTAAATCCATTCCACTGGCAGATGTCTTTTCTTTAGCAGATAAACACAAATTGCTTCCACCCATTATGATTACCCCATGAAATTGTCATGAAAATGATGGTGCTCTCCCAGGCACAAAACCCACTTGTGTACTACTTTGAAAGTTGATGGATGATAATAAAAAGCTAATTATATTGTACTTGCCTGCAAAGAGAATGACTCGCTTAAGGCAACAGGACATATGGTATTTGTAGGAGCACTTATGGTCATTTTTCACTGTAGTGTATTGAATTTAACATTTCCTTATGGCACAATCAGGGCCAATTGGGGCTAAGGGTCATATATGGCAGGAAATTGAACTATTGACTGACATAGCTATTATTTCTGTGCATCATTTCAGTTGATAAACCAAGTTTTAAGAGGATTTTCAATGGAATTAGCACTGCAGGAAAGAGTTTTGTACATATGCACCTGCATATTTATAACAGCTCCACAATCATTCACATTTCTCTTGTGGTTATCTCTTAAACTGTAAGGGTCTTTGTTTAAAAGCTGGCCATTTTGAAATCTTACAAGTGCATTAAAATATTAAAAAGTTCTAGTGGCAATTAAAAAAGGACAAAGAATCTAAACAAATGTGGTGTCAAAAACCCTAATCTTATACCCGTGATGGCGAACCTATGGCACGCGTGCCAGATGTGGCATGCAGAGCCCTTTCTGTGGGCATGCGCGCAGTTGCCCCAGCCCAGCTCCAATCGTGTATCTCCGTCGAGTTTCACTCAATCAATTAAAAATTCTTGTGAAAGAAAAAGATCTTACAAGGTTGGAATCGATGGAACTTTTTCACTCGCACGCTTCATAATGGGGGAGACGGGATCTTGTCCTCCTCATGAAGCCCATTATAACGCAGAGCCACAATGTGACCCTGCATCGGCTCGGCAAAAAAAAGCAGTTTCTTTTCCTGCAGAGCTGCCAGTGTTGGGATGCCCCGCCTCCCCACTGGCCAGCTGAGCTTCTTCAGGCACTTAGCTTGAAGCACCTATTAGCTCCAGCCCACCCTCCACCTCAACGAATGGCGTGCAAAAGTTCGGCTAGGCTCCTCGAGAGACAGAGTTTTCAGGGGACTGGTCTAGCACCCTGGCTAGCTTCAACACTAATGTTCATTCTTGGATTTGAGATTCCTAGGTTTGTCCCCCTGTGCCAATCAGACAAAACAGGAAAAGGGGGCAGAGAGAAACAGTCCCAATGCCAAGTTACACATGGGTCAGAGGGGAGCAGAAATTCCAACTTCAGCCTCCTGGTGCAGCATAAGGCTTTGGGCGAAGGCTGGAAGGAAGCACCGCTGGCTCGCTCACGTTCTCCCTCCCCAGGCTAGTTTAATGCAGGCAGCAGCGCAGCTCACACTGCCCTTTCCAAGTCCATTATCAGTGAAGCTGGGTGCTGGTGAGAGCTGGCTTTTTGCCTAGCTTTGTCTGGCTGTCGGGGGAGAAAGCCTATGTCCAGCTAGACTGGGAAAGCTGAGGAAGAGAAGCTGGGTTAGCCAGATCCAGATGCTTCCTGAGTCCCAGAAGCAGTAACCTCACACTCTCCCCTCTCTGCTAGCCCCCTTCTTTGCACAGGATCACCCAGCAGCGGGAAAGGAGAGGGAGAAGGGGGTAGCGTTCCTGAGTGCTGCCATTTCCGTGTGCTAACGTTGCTGTTCCCTTCTTTGCGTGGGATCATCCAGCAACGGGAATGGAGAGGGAGAAGGGAACGCTGCCCCCTTCTCCCTCTTCGTTCCCACTGCTGGGTGATCTGTTTGTTACTGAATTTATATCTTCTCTTTCTCCCAAGAGCTTAAAATGGCTTAAGGTGACTTCCATAATTATATTGCCAACAACCATCCTATTAATTAGGTTGGATTGAGAGAAGATGACCCAAAGTAATGCTGTGAATTCAGTGATTGATCTTAGAGCAGTACTTTAAGTGATGTATCATACAGGCTCTCTGCATATCTAAAAACATATGGTATATCTATACCCAGTCCACTATTCCTATTTAGAGTATGCAATATCAAGCTGCAGAAAAAGGAATAAGAAATAGTTAGCAAAAGTAATAGATAGATAGATAGATAGATAGATAGATAGATAGAGTAGATGGAGGGAGGGAGGGAGGTCGGCAGGCAGGCAGGCAGGCAGATGATAGAAAAGAAATAACAGATATGAAAAGGAGATACATAAACTCTACATTTGACTGGCTTTAGTTTAGCAACCTTTGGAGTTAATGGGCAAAATCTGCTGAAGAGGGATATGCTGTGCTAGAATATCAGCAACAATTGAGGAAATGTGGAGATAGGGCACTGGGGAGATCAGCAGGGTTCACTTGGGGTTGGTAAGAGAAAAGAGATGGAACAACATACTCTTCTCTGATTGCCATTTTCCACACCTACTTAAACTGAAGACAGTTTGGTGCAGTGCTTAAGGCACTAGGCCGGAAACTGGAAGAGCACAAGTTCTAGTCCTGCCTAAGGCACAAAGCCTGCTGGGTGACCTTAAGTCAATCACTCTCTCTTATCCCTAAGAAGCAGACAGGGGCAAGCCACTTCCAAAAACATTGGCAAGAAAACTGCATTAGCTTCTCCAGGCAGTTGCCAGGAGACAACACTGTCAACACTGACTTGAAGACACAGACACACATACGCTCACAAAACCCAAATAAAATAAACACACACACACACAAATATTTTGCCTTTATAGTCTACTTTGAATGAACTTCATCTATAGTGCATGTCCATTCACCCAAATACATGGTATAGTGTCATATCATCTTACAGTATTATACAATTATTGGCATTTCATTCTAGTGACAAGAATGTAATGGGCAGTAATATGGCTAAGAGGTTCAAAGAAGTTCTGTACTTCCCTGACATATATACTTTTCATTTCTTTATTATTTTCCAAGATCTGTTACTGAAATATAATAATTTTCTCTTATTGTTGATTTTTCTATATTCTATTCTTGTTCTATAAAGGGACCACATTTATACTATATTCTTTTTTTTAAAAAAATGTTTCAGTATCTCCCAAGGAGAAGACTGCAAAGCAAGAGAAAAAGAAAGCAGCTCCTTCCCCAAAAGGTAATTTTATTTATTTTACTTTACTGAGAAATAATTCAAGAAGCAGCACATTTTTTATTGTGGGGGGAGGGGGGGAACTGAATGCAGAATGCTCCCTCCCATGTAACTCGGTTGACAAGGGAGTTTCCCCATATAACTGCTATTGAAATAGCACATGTGAGTCCAGTTATCTTCTCTATGATGTCTGTCAAGGTGTAGATCCCCTCTTGATCTTTTTATTTTGGATTTTCTTCTCCAAGAACTTCAATGGGTGAACTCTGCTGAAATACTGTGGGAATGGTTTGACTTTAGGCTGTCTTTGTTCAAAGAGCAGGTATTCTTTCATTGCCCTTATTTGTTTTTTTATCACCAGATTGCCTGTGAAACTTTAGCATGTGTAAAACTATTGTGCACAAATTTTTCTAGGCAGATGCCTCTTTGCAGTCAGAGGCAAGGCATTTGCCTATTTGTATCCCACCTTTATTATTTTTATAAATAACTCGTGATGATGAACATAGGCAACACACTTTCCTATTGTTCCCACAATAACAATCCTGTGAAGTGAGCTGGGCTGAGAGAGATTGACTGGCCTAAGGTTACCCAGCCGGTTTTCATGGTTAAGGCGGGACTAAAACTCACAGTTACCCCTTTCTAGCCTAGTGTCTTAACCACTAGACCAGGGGGTTTAAAACTCGCATTGTCACAGCGTGATGTATTGCAACTTTTCCCCCATTCACTAAATCGGGTGTGGGCGCAGGCCACAAGTTTGAAAGCCCTGCATTAGACCAATCAATTGGCATTTTCAGAAGTGGCCATGGTGGTGGTGGTTTTCTCCAAAATTAATGGCAGAGAAAGGTTTATAATAAACCTTTTACCTGCGTATCACTTTTTTTTAAGTGAGACTCAAGCTATTTCTGAGGTTGTTTATATTGCTTTATATGTGACTTTCATCACATCTAAAAATAGAGGTGCACTTTGTGCTCTATTATTTACCACATCAACTTTTTTATTCTTCTATTACTAAGTTCTCTCACTGACAGTTTATTTTACAGCTAGGGGAAAAAAAAGATGCTGGGATAAGCTGTTCATTAAATTGCCACACACCTTGTAAGGTAAAAGTTCTGAGAGAGGAAGTTTGCAATTCCTTTTATTGGCATTGTATTTTTAAATAAACTTTGGGAGAAAGTACAGAGAAATCTATATGTTTCTCATTGGTTTCATTTTCTTTACTCTTCATATGTGTGCAAGGGTAGGATAAAACCTACCCTTAAAGTTTTTAGATTTAGGTGCTTACTATAAAAGTGTTAACTCTACCTCATATTCCAGTTAAATTGGGTGTTTCCCACATGTCTTACTCAAAAGTAATTTTCACTCAATTCAGTAGGGCTTATTCCAAAGAAAATGGATGCAAGATTGCAGTAATCCTATTGAACTTAATGGAAATGGTTTCTTAGCAGATAACATAAAGTGGCATTTTATGGTATATTTATGATCTTTTCCCTGATTTTTGTGATTTAGGGAGGGCCACTTATCTTAAAACAAAATAAAACAAAATAAAACTTTCAACTTAAACGCAAATGACAGCAATCATTTGATTGAATCCTCATTTTAACAGAGTAAAAAGTGGAGAAGGATATTCAGGAATGCCAGAAAGGCATTGTGGGATTATTCTTTTTAAATAATGATTTAATGCACAGAAATGATGCAAATGACACAAATTCTGTCATTTGCATAATGGTGACATAATGCAAATTATATAAATTATACATTTTCTGCAAGCATCTTGCATCAAGTCTGATAAAATTAGGTTTGCTATATCAGGAACTAGAGCCTCAGGCTCCACCAGTAAATAAACCAATAGGTGTCTAACTCTCCCAATATAAGCAGAATAATTCCTAAGGTCTGATTGAGGAAGAAAAATAAATTTATCTGATTTAAGACGGCCACGTCCTAAAGGAAACTGCATTAAAAACATTGCTCTTGAAATCTTATGTCTGTTCTGTCACAAAGAACACTTGTGATGCTATTCAGAGTTGGAGCTATTCTGGTTAACACTGGTGGTAATGAAACTACTATCAAGAGAGATGATTTTGATATTGGTTGTATATTGGAAAATGCTTGAAAAATAAGTTCCAATATTTTAAACTAAACTCAGAAGCCCTAAACAGTTGTTTCTGACCTTGCCATTGCTTCACTGTGGCTGAATAGGCTTGTTTTTTTTTTTTTTTTTTTTTAGTGATTCATTGGAACATTAGTGTAGAAGCCATGTGGCATCGTAGTTAAAATGCAGTATTGCAGGCTAATTCTGTTTAGTGCCAGCAGTTCGATTCCCATCAGCTCAAGGTCACTCAGCCTTCTATCTGTCCAAGGTTGCTAAAATGATGATCCAGATTGTTGGGGGAAATATGCTGACTCTGTAAACCACTTAGAGAGAGCTATAAAGCATTATGAAACATTATGAAGTGCTGTTGTGGCACCAATTTTATTTGTAAGCCTTCCTGAATGGCTTTGTAGAGTGATATGGGCGGCGTATAAATTTAATACATAAAAAAATTGTGTGCAAGTTGTGTGCGAATTGCCTTCAAAGACAGCTCAGGGTAAATGGTGTTAAAATAAGCTCTGCAAGGGGTCTCCTTCTCTGACAAAGGCTAGAACTTGAAAATTATTCCACTCATTACTGTGATCTGCTTCTCTATATTCAGGTAGCAAATTTCTCATCTTCACTACTACAATTCTCCAAAGGCCAAAAATTACTTTATTAACCGTACCTCTATATTCTGTCAATTTGGCTTAATCATGATTAGACTGTAACAGACACTCCTGCATCTTTACTTAATGATGTAAACTCATTAATGCAAATGTTTTTTCTCCCACTGAATATGAAAGAGTAGAGGGCAAGCAGTGGTGGGATTCTAAATTTTTTACTACCGGTTCTGTGGGCATAGCATCAGAGGTGGGTTTCAGCAGATTCTGACCAGTTCTGGAGAATCAGTAGCGGAAATTTTGAGTAGTTTGGAGAACCGGCAAATGCCACCTCTGACTGGCCCTGCCCCCATTTATTCTCTGCCTCCCTGTCATGCCCACCAAGCCACACCCACGGAACCGATAGTAAATTTTTTTGAATCCCACCACTGCATAGCATGGCTTGGTGGCTGTGGCAGGATACTGTAAAATCTCCATTCCCACTTGACTCCAGGGGAAGGTTATTGCAAAATCCCCATTTCCTCCTGCACAGCTGGAACTCGGGAGGCAGAGAACGGATGGGGGCGGGGCCAGTCAGAGGTGGTTTTTGCCGGTTCTCCAAACTACTCAAAATTTCCGCTACCTGGTCAGAACTGGTCAGAACCTGCTGAATACCACTTTTGAAAGCAAGTACTTTATAATAAAAGTAGTTTGGAGAATGCCCTGAAAAATCCAGCCTCAGGTGATGTGGGAAGTCCCATTTTGTTCCTGAGATGGAGAAGATAGTCTTGAGACTCATCTATTCTCTCTCATTTCAAACAAGCTTTTGCTTTTCCACAGCTGGAATAACAATTCCATAATGTCATGCTCCCTTGCTCTTTTCTGCTTCAGTATAAAATATAATGCAAATACACTTTATATTTATTTTGCAAATACATGTTCTTTAGTCAACTAGGAAAAAAAATTGAGGTGATGTAGATTATCTCAGTTCTTCTCTTCTTTGTCTTGATGGGAATAGTCTGCAGGAGAACTGTACTTTTATGTTTGTTTTACCTAGTTACATCATTCTACAGCTCTGGGAACTCAGATCATTCTTATAGATAAGTTTTCTTTTAAAAATGGAGCACTTACAAATGATTTGTGTATACGAAGATTGAGATTATGGAAATAGTGTGATTGTCTGTTATATCAAATTACTATATTACTCCACAGTTTGTAATTTGCACCAAACATACCAGGTGAACTGATCTGTAAATCACCATAAAACAATTACATACATTTATGTCTGCCATTGAAAATCCATTAAAACAAGTGTGTCTTAAGCTATCTATATTGTTAGGTGGCAGATGATTGATGTGATTACATAAGTGTTCTGCAACTCATTCTTCATTTTAAAGGATAATGGAATTAAAACAACAAAATTACCTGTAAAAAAAAAAACCCTTTTCAAAGGAATTAAGGATCATGTATCTTAGTATACTGCTCCATATTATATAAAGTGCTGGTAAAGTAATGTTAACATCTTTAGTGAGGATTACATACAATTTTGCTATTTAACTCTTTGAATTAAATCCACAGTAGCATTCCATAGGTACGGGATTCTCAGTTCACATTAATTACTTTTTCTTAAATGGATAAATTAATATTTGTGTTTTATAAATTGGTAAAATAAGATTATTTTCTCATTATAGTAACAGAAAAAATGAAAACTGAACAGCAAGAAAGGATGGGGAAAAAAGTTGTCACAAAAGGTATTTCTTTAGTCGTTAATAATATTCAGGAGCGAACTTCCTTAACTTCTTTAATCATATAGCAAGACTGCAGAGGCCAAATCACTCCAGGAGGCTATTAGTAAAATAATGATAAGATTTAAACCTTAGTATGAATCACATCAGATATGAATTTAACTCTCCAAATTCTCAGCAATAATTGTGAATTCTGTGAGTTGAATTCTGGATATGGCCAAGTTGAAAAATCCTTGTCTAAACATTACTTTATTCTGCTATTGTGCAGAACTTAAATCTTAAGATTAATTGTTGTTGTTAAATATTAAGACATTTAAGAATTGTTTGGATGTGTTACTATTTTGTTATTGTCATACTATTGTTTTGTTTTACTCAGAAAACTAGACAATACTTCATTAAATACAAGTGTGTAAAAAAAACTAGGCATTATTCTCTTGAAATTGCTTTTTAAAAAATCTGTAGATATTTGAGCTAAGAATTAAGTCCTGTTTAAACAGTGTGCTTAAAACAGTTGTTCTGCAGTTTATGTTTTCCACTTATGGTTAATAATGACACTGAGGTTTTTTAATACTTCATAAGATGTATTGAAGATATTTTTAATGCCATATGGCAGGGATTTGTGAAAAAGGGACTTTTGAACCTAAAACATTTATGTTGCATGCAGATAAAAAGAGCATCCAAGTTGAAGAAAAGATAAAAAAAGATGTGAAAGAAAAAAAACCCGAGGCCAAGGCACCTGAAAGACTAAAGACCAAGGAAATCAAAGCAGCGGAAGTTACATCACCAAAAGCCAAGGGAAAAAAGGAGACTGCCCTGGCAGTCAGCGAAAAAATCGATCATGAAGGTAAACAATATCAGGAGGAGGTCACCAAGAAATGCTGAAGTGCAGGAAGGAATTCAGATTCCACTTTTTAGAAAGAATTCATCCATAATTATGAGAAGGAGGGGAGGGAGGGATGTCTTGGATCTACTGATGTTTACTTTTTTTGACTAATAATTCTTTTAGGAACAAATTTCACTACAAAAGCATTTCCAGCATAAGAAAGATGTGAAAAAAGATGTGAAATCTCTTAACTTTGTCTAATGGAAGGAATAGTGACTATTAGGCCCCATCTAGAGATCATCACATCTTCACATTCTTAAATCTAAGCAGAAAATTTGTCAGGAATTGGAATGAGAAAGGGACAGAGGTAGGCAGAATTTGGGGAACATAGATTTTGAGTTATATGCAATTTATATCTCTTTCTACAATACATGCATTGAATGAGGGAAAAATGGAGGCATGGGGAGGATTGACTTCTCTGAATGCTTTTGACATCATCAGCCAGCCAGCCAATCATTTTGCTGGCACTTCTGTGAGATGTATGTTTCTGGAATGTATATTTCTTTTTTTGAATCCATCCATTTATTCCTCATGTACCAGTCTCAGGGATGTTATCAGGTGGGTTAAAATAGGGGTCCACAACCCCCAGGCCACGGCCTACTACCATGAGCCAATCGGAACTAGGCTGCGGAAATGGTGCATACTAGGCTGCGGAAGTGGGCGAGTGTGTGCGCGAGCAGTGGGTGAGTGCGTGTGCTCCATTTCTACCACTCGTGCAGAACCATCCCCTCTCCCTCCCCCACCTACTGGTCCACAAAGGTAGAAAGGTTGGGAAACTTAGGGTTAAAAGAAACATATATAACAAGGGAATAAAATCCAAAATATAATTTTAAAAAGCCTTAAGTTACTTTGTTTCACTCTGGTGCCAGTCTCCAAGAGGAATCCCTGAGGGTAAGAGTTCTTATAAATTCTAAAAATCTATCTAGCTCATTAAAAAAAACCCACAGTAGCTAGTTGAATGCAATAGGAAACATATAGCTAGGGCACAATTAATATTTGGTTAAATGTTTTGGACTCAGTCTGGATTCAGTTTTGGACTCAGTCTGAACTTCTTTCCTTCTCTCTTATGTGAATATCTTTACTTGTCCACTTTCACACAACACATTCCATTTTCTCATTGCTTTCTCTTCCAATTCTTGCTTGTGGTCCCAGCCAACCATTCTCTTTTTAAAAAATATTCCAATTCACAGGCTCTAATGTTCATTTCCTCATCTTTGTAGTCAGCCAACCAGCTTTTGATGAGTAGAATGGAGACTCAATCCTAAATGAGCTGTTTTCAGCTTCACTTGAACTTCCCTGCCATTTGAAATTCCATTCCACATTGGTTTTTTTTTTTCTTTTTCTTCTTCAAATGTTGAACCTCTCCCACGTCTGTTGATGCTTTTCTTTTAAGCACAGATGGTGGCATTTTGAAAACATCAGGATTCACACGGGGAAATGGTAGACAATACAGATATTATTAGCATTTAGGATGTATCTTTTTAATGAGAGCGCTTTTGAAAAGAATTTTGAAATTTTGAATTTTGAAAATTTCATACAAATCTTCCATTTGAACTGGTTTCAGTTTGAGCCCCCCCCCCAGCTTTTTTTCTTTTTAGGAGAGGGAAATTAAAGTCTTCCTATTTACCTCCATGCTGTGCAAAAACACTATATTTTAAAATTTATTTATTGTTAGGTCCCATAATCTGAGTTATTTCTTAGAAATTATTAGGATTATCTGTTGAGTAAAAAGCTATGCATGTAACTAAAATGACAGCACACATCAATTTTTTTTAAAAAGTCTTCCTAATCATTTGAAAGGGGATGCAGTGGCTCAGTGGCTAAGACACTGAGCTTGTCGATCGAAAGGTCGGCAATTCAGTGATTCCAATCCCTAGTGCCACGTAATGGGGTGAGCTCCCATTACTTGTCCCAGCTTCTGCCAACCTAGCAGTTCGAAAGCACATAAAAATGCAAGTAGAAAAATAGGGATCACCTTTGGTGGGAAGGAACAGCGTTCCATGTGCCTTTGGCATTTAGTCATGCCGGACACATGACCATGGAGACATCTTCAGACATCGCTGGCTCTTCGGCTTTGAAACGAAGTTGAGCACCACCCCCTAGAGTCGGAAATGACTAGCACATATGTGCGCAGGGAACCTTTACCTTTATTCATTTGAAATACTATACAATATTTTAACATATCTAAGTTAAGAACATTTGTGCATCATCTTTAATTTTCAAGTCTCTCTCTCTCTCTCTCTCTCTCTCTCTCCTCCTCCTCCTCCTCCTCCTCCCTCCCTCCCTCCCTCCCTCTCCTTCTCCCTCTCCCTCTCTCTATTCATCTCTCTCTCTGGGTTTTTCAATTTTTTAAAGTTTTGTCAGACACGAACAACCAGGTCCATATGTGCAAAGCTTGAGCTAACTACTTTATTATAGTCTGACTATAATACAGGAATCTCTCCAGTCTGGCAGTTCTTTCCTGGGAATAGCCTTCCTCCCTGCCAGTCTGGATACTTCCTAAAAAGTTCAAATAATTCACCCCCAAATTCATATTAAAATTCTTGGGGCTTTTGTTTGGATTTCTATTATTGCATGCATGTTTTTGCATACCTTTCCTGGTATTTGTATTTCTCCAACCAATTTCTCATAATATTATGTGTTTATGTGCATATTTATTCCAATAAACACATTTTTGTGCTCATTATTACCTAATATATGTATTTTATGTCTTTTTATTTCCTTGTGAATTTGCATTGCATTCAGAACAGTGTTAGTTATATCCAGAAAGCTTGAAGGGTGTGAATATTGTAAATCTGTATAAAAATTAGATTGAAAAAAAAATATGTGTCCCAATTAATTGCACTATGAATATGGATATTATTCTTTAGCCATAGCAGATTAGGAAACAAAATCAAAATTTAAATTTTTTTAAAAAAATTTTTTAAAAAAGAACTTTGAACCTTAGCATTACTATTCCTTCATATTCGTTTTTCTGACCTGTTCAATCATTTCTGTCTTTTTGACAGATGTGCCATATAGAAATTGGGAGCACTGGTGGTGAGCTCATATCTGAAGAGATTGCTCTCATTACTCTCTGAATGAGCTTTCAGTTTGAGTAAAATGTACTGAGCTGACAAAGGGCTGATAGGGTTATGGAAGGAAGATTGTATGAACTTAATATTTCTTCCTTTGGCAGAGCACTCCTGGGTACAGGGTTGCCCTACAAGCTGCAGCCCATCAGAACAAAAATGAAAATTGTGAGATTTCTGCATTTCCCTGATATGTCACTTCTGCATAATAAAAAGGAGATTTCCCTGATCTAGATGTAGAGAAAGAGAGGAACATTTGGCTCCCGAACCCTTTCTTAGACATTTTCCATTCCATAGCTTCAGATTTTCTCTGAATTTCAGTTGTCAATTTTTTTAAAAAAAATCTATTAATCTTCTTTAAAATCAGCACTTTATGATAAAATATGGTTAGATGTGTGTTTATCAGATAATGCCACTATAAATATTTTATGAGGAAAATATAAACACATATATTTAAATATGTGTTAATGTATGCATTTTGGTGGAAAGCTTTAAAAATATTTTTGGCAGAATGGGTACATGAAAGTCTACACATGAAATAATGATGAAATATACAGTATTGATTTTTTTTCATCCCTAGTGCAGGTACCATAGTTTTACACATATAACCAAAAGTCCGGGCTCTGATCTTATCCAGTTTGTGTTTGAAAAAAATATTTTATTGATAGCTAGAATGAGGTGCAGGGGTGAAATCCAGCAGGTTCTGACACGTTCTGGAGAACCGGTAGTGGAAATTTTGAGTAGTTCGGAGAACTGGCAAATACCACCTCTGGCTGGCCCCAGAGTGGAGTGGGAATGGAGACTTAGCACTATTGTTCCCCCAGGAGTGGGTTCTACTTACTTTACTACCGGTTCTCAGCGGGGCTGCGCACGCGCTCTTCTGCGCATGTGTTTTGATGATGTTGGGGTCGGTGGGCGGAGCCTCCTGCCGGCTTTGCTACCAGTTCTATAGAACCGGTGCGAACTGGGGGCAACCCACCACTGATCCTTCCCCCAGGAGTGGGGAGGAAATGGGGATTTTGCAGTATCCTTCCCCTGGAGTGGGGTGGGAATGGAGATTTTGCAGTATCCTTTCTCCAGGAGTGGGGAAGGAATGGGGATTTTGCAGTATCCTTCCCCTGGAGTGGGGTGGGAATGGAGATTTTTTTAAAAATTTATTTATATGCTGCCCTTCTCCGGAGACTCAGGGCGGCTTACAATGTGTTAAGCAATAGCCTTCATACTTTTGTATAATTATACAAAGTCATCTTATTGCCCACACAATCTGGGTCCTCATTTTACCTATCTTAGAAAGGATGGAAGGCTGAGTCAACCTTGAGCCTGGTGAGATTTGAACTTGCAGTAATTGCAGGCAGCTGGTGTTAATAACACTGTTAATAACAGTGCTTTAGTCTGCTGCGCCACCAGGACTCTTTCAGTTTTTGCAGTATCCTTCCCCCAGGAGTGGGGAGGGAATGGAGGGAATGGAGATTTTGCAATATCCTTCCCCTGCCACACCCACCAAGTCATGCCCATAGAACCGGCAGTAAAAAAATTTGGATTTCACCACTGGTGAGGTGTAAAACTGGTAGTCTTCAGCACCAGGTCTTTTGCCAATTCCAGTATTCCAGTGAAAGACACAACCTAAAGATGAACAAAAATTGGTTCTTTTCACTGCTGTCCCTTCACCCTTTCTCCCCCAAAATGTAATTCATGGTTTAATAGATTGAAAGATGATTCAAGTGAAATATACAGTGTAAAGTTTTAAGTTGATAACTGACACACATGTGTCATAAGCCTAAATCAACCCTTCATCGCAATGCACATGGATTTTTCTAACTGGATTTTTTAAAAAACAAAGCCAGCAGGTAATATGACTTTTCCAAAGCTATCCAGAAAGAGCAGATGGAAACTGCAAAGCAAAACTAGACCATATGCGAATTATATAACTGCTGGAATTAGTTATTTTTAAAAAATAATTTTAAGATATCAGGATTATGTTTGTGATCTGAAAAAACTAAGATTTTCCCCAAATTCCTTTGATTTTTTAAAAAAATTTGTTTATTCTGGACCGTGGTTCAGTACTGACCTCCATACCCAAGCATTGCCTGCCAAGGAGTATGAACTTTCAACAACAGAAACGCTGGGGGGGAAAGGATTACGTATCCTCTTCCGTACCAGTTGATCATAATGCAGAGTGGCCCTTTGTGTGCTTCCAGGGAAGCCAGGAAAATCACAGAGTGGAGCAGGGCAATACAACTTGTGCGTTATCTAATTTAGACCTCAGTGGAAACCACAGCTGATGTTTTCGTGCATTCCTCTTCCAGATGAATATCAGAGGTGGCAATTCATAAAGCTTAAAATCCAGTTCTTTCCAGTGGAATTAGCAGAAAAGCATTGCTAATGGAAATAGTCTGTGAAGAGCCCAGAAAGGCGAACTTGACCTGAATTCTTCAGCAAGAGCCCAACATTTTCCATCTGTTGAATGTAGTAGCTTTTATTTTGTAGCAGCTGCAGATAAATTAAAAATAAGCTTAATATATTTTATTTAATTGAATAAGAAAATAAATTAGAATCGATAAATCATTTTCTGCTGCACAGATTTATCATGCAGTTAATTTTCTTCTGCCTCCAAATGTTTTAATTTTAAGTGGTCTGCAAACTCTTTTTATAATTGGATCACAAATGTTGCCCAAAGGAAAGGGAAGATGTTTATTTTTGTGGAGCAGAAAACTAAAATTATGCTGAAATGACCATTACAAGCTCTGCTGACAGTCCAATGGCCATTGCTGTTTCCAAAATTGTCACATAGCCCTTTCAATGACTAGAGACAAGAACTTAGAAGTGATGCAAGGAACTTGGCCCTGGTGAAAGAAAAAAAAATGTATCTGAGACCTGGGGGTAGTAAATTTGAAAGTTGTCTTTCAGTAGAAATACTTTGTGCCAAATGGAAATTTATCTCCTATAAAGAATTTGAATTCTTTATAGGAGTCGTATAATCACAGAAGTTAATTCTTTTGGATTTATGGACTTATGCATGTATGATTATGTTGCATCAATGCAGATGTCTATTTTGTACATTCCAATTTACCTTGTGTGTGTGTGTTTTTTAATGTGCTTTTTAAAATGAAGATGAGAGCCAGTTTGATGTAGTAGGTAAGGCACAAGGTTAGAAACTGGGAGACTGCGAGTTCTAGCCTGCTTTAGATATGAAGCCAGCTGGGTGAGTTTGGGACAGTCCTTGTCAGCCCTAAGGCAGAAGAAGAAGAAGACGCAGAAGAAGAAACATAGAACATAGAACAATAGAATTGGAAGGGACCTCAGAGGTCTTCTAGTTCAATCCCGGGAGACCCTATACCATTTCAGACAAATGGATGTCCATCTCTCTTTTTGAAAGCCTTCAGTGATGGAACACCCACAATTTCTGAAGGCAAGCTATTCCATTGGTTGAGTGTTCTCACCATTACGAAATTTCTCCTTAGTTCTAGGTTACTTCTCTCCTTGGTTAGATTCCAACCATTGTTTCAAGAAAAAGAAGGAAGAGGAGGAGAAGGAAGAAGAAGAAGGAGGAGAAGGAGAAGGAGAAGGAGAAGAAGAAGAAGAAGAAGAAGAAAAAGAAGAAGAAGAAGAAGAAGAAGAAGAAGAAGAAGAAGAAGAAGAAGAAAGAAGAAGAAGAAGAAGAAGAAGAAGAAGAAGAAGAAGAAGAAGAAGTAGAGTTCAGTGGTTCTCAATCTGTGATCTGTGGACTCTTGGGGGCGGTCGATGTCATCACAGGGGGTCCATGAAGGCTTGAAGAAATGTTATGATTTAAATTTTGAGTTAAGTCTTGGGGGTCTGTGGCCATGGTCCATGGCCACAAGGGGTCCATGGTGAAGAAAAGGTTGAGAACCACTGATCTTATTGATTGTCTATTTTCATTGTCCATTGATACTTTTTAATATTATTTTAATAGAAATTCTAGTGCTTTAACAAAAAATGTTCATGGCACTGCAATAGGAATTTGTTTTTTTATCTATTCTCCAAGACCAATACTGAACAGAAAATATTACATTTTCAATTAAAATATCTATGGTTATTTAAAGTGACTTAAATCAGTCTTAAAATGAAAATAGTGATTAAAGTAGATACAGTTGCCCCAGGGGTGAAATGCTCCTGGTTTGGATCAGCTCAGCCAAGTAGGTAGCGATGGCGGTGGGCAGTTCGGAGAACCGGTAGCAAAAATCCCTGCCCCCGCCCCCCACGCCCAGCTGAGCCGGGTGATCATCAGATGCTTTTTTTTCTTTTAAATGCCTCTGACGAGCCAAGCTCTGATGATCCAAGCTCTGACGATCCCAGCTGAGTTGCCCGCCGATCAGGCAACTCAGCTTGGATTGTCAGAGCCTTTTGAAAACATTTTTTAACATGATTTTACATGGAAAAAATGGTTTTAAAAGTAAAAAAAAAAATTGGCCATGCCCACCCAGTCACATTACCCCCCCCCCCCCACTAAGTCATGCCCACAGAACCGGTAGTAACAAATTTTAGATTTCACACTGAGTTGCCCTATAAATAAATGCCAGAAACATTTGGACTAAATTGCCTAGTTCAGGAATAGCCCATTTCATGTTGCTGGACTCAAGACACTCAGCTTTACTCCCCATTGACCATTGTTAGCTAGGGCTATTGGAAATAGTGGTTCAGTCATCTCTTAAAGGTTTTCCATTGTCTATCCCTTAGTTAGCTTAACTGTCCATACTGGAAACATCTAGATTACTCACATGCAAATCCCTTAGAAAAAAGAATGAGTTCCAGCATTTTTTCAACCTGGCATTCTGTAGATGATCTGGGGTTGCAACTCCAAGCTATAATGGCCTTTTGCCCTGCTGTTGAATAAGTCTAGGAATTTCAGTCCCAACCTTTGTGGAAGGTGACTAATTTGGGAAGGTGGCGGTAAGGAAAAGAAGTGGTGATTTGGTCCTTAAAATTATACATGATTTAGAGAATCCATTGGAAGCACCATATTTGTGTAGAAAGCCTGAAGGAATTTTCTACGGAAGAATCTTTAAAAAGACACAGAAACACCAATGCTATCATTTGTTTCATGATTGGCTACTTCAAGAAATAAAAAGTCATTAAGAGTTCCAGTGCAGTACTCTTTTTTTAAATCTTCATTTTTTAAAAAATCTAATTATGTCTTATTGCTCTTTTTTCCCCCTTCTATTCTGCCAGATCAATTTGCATTCTGTCGTTATATGATTGACATGTTTGCACACGGGAATTTGTACACAGGTACTTGAAATGAATGCTGTCAATGAAATGTTTGGTTTTTCTCAGAGCTTCTACTATTTTGTGCTCTTCAAATATCTCTCTGTGTGTTGGCGTGTGTGTGTGTTGTTAAACATGGAAACTGAGAGTGCACAGGTTAAATAAAGCATATTAACAAATGGCTTGATCCATTAAAGCTTCTAATAAATTTTTCTGTAGTTGCATGCATTTAGGTTAATGTCAATATAAAAAGTTGAAATCAGTAGAGATTTGATAAAGAAGGAAGATGCTTTCTTTAGCAGATGGCATACTGATTGTTTGCATGATGCTTTTATGCCATATAAAAGATAAAATATTTACTTGAAGTAAGGTTTCGTTGTATTTTCTTAAGATAGTAGAAAACATCAAAAGACTGACCAAAAAATCAAAAGCAGGGACAAATATCTCATGAAGATATTTTGAACCAGTTGGAGTTTTTAGGATAGAAAAAAGTGATTTTGTCGGAGGGTTGGTGGGTTGGGTTTATACTGGTATATAACCACACACACACACAAAAAGTTCCAGGATCATAGATAAATTTTCCTTTCTATAGGATTTGCTAAAGCTTTCTGACCATAACTGATGATAATTAACATCATCATGTCATCAATTTTGAGATGGATAACAGGTGAAAAAATTGTACTCAAAGCCAAAAAGTAGAAAACCAAAAAAAATCCAAAAGAAACCGAAAAATCCAAATATTTTTTCCCCAAACTCAGTCCCTCCCATCTACTTTGCAGCTCTGAAGCTTGTGGCATGGTGATCATAAGGACATGATTGTTTCTGAAAAAAAGAGTATGGTGACTTGCTAAAATATTGTAGGAAACTAATTATAGTCAAGAAAAATTATGAATTAATTTAGTGTGTGTGAAACTTGAAAGTCATTCAAATCCTCTATGTAATAAATGTAGTGATTAGGTAGGCTGCCGAATCATGAATAACAGCTCATTTTTTTTCCACAGATCTTGATGAGATTCAAGGTTCTTCAACTTTTAGGGAAAGGGATATAATTACCAATGCCACTTGCCTCGTATTTGTTGACAAAATTAAAATACATTGTTCTGTGCTTCGTGTAGGATGTACATCCACTTCCTTTTCTGATATGGCACCTCTTTCCATATCTTTTTTTAGCATGCCATTTTCAAAATATGCAGAAATGAATGTTTTTCTGAGTATTGCCAGTTAATAGACCAAGAATATAAATGTATTGCTTTCTTACCTGGGCATTTTAAAGTGATTTGCTAATGCTAAAAAATCCTACAGAAATCTCTCTAAGGTATGTTTTTCAGTATTTATATTCCCAAAGAGAAAATAATTCAAAAGATGCAATGAAGTACATTCCTAAGAACGTAGTTCTTATCCCAGCTAAGATAAAGTAAAAGGACTTAAGCAAATGGTTTCTTATTGTTTAGAATGTCAAGACCAAACTCCAATCCACTTCTGAGATATTCCAACAGTTCCCACAACAATTAGCCAAATTAGGTAGGGCTGATAAGTGTTGAAGAATCCTAAAGGGTACCAGTTTATTTAACTCCACTATAAATAAACGTCTGTTGACATAACCATTTACATGGTTTGGGTGGGAGGGCTATGCATGCTTTATAAACATAGAAATTGAGAAAACTGACCAAGCAATTAATCATGATGTAGTTATAGTTACCTAATTCCCACGGTCAACTAACACTATGAATCTGAGGGTTAATTGTCCCTTCTGATTGTTATTGAGGCAAAGACCTAGATTGGCCCATGAAAATGTAACCTTATAGAACCATAAAGTTGGAAGAGACTACTGCGATCATATGGTTCAATCTCTTGCCTCTCTATATCCTTTGTGGCCATTTTGATCTTTATCCTCACTCAATTCTAATGGGTTTGGAAAAAGAGACAGAAATGGAAAGGAATGGTTCCTTCTAACCTTGTCAATAGCAACACCACCATCAATCATTGTGCCACCACAATTGAAGAAGGAGAAGAAAAACAGGAAGTGGGCAATAGGTAATAGCCTCCTGGCCTTTTTGCAGTAGCTACATGCTACTGCATAGTAATCCTGAATAGTGTCCTGTTGTGTTGCTACTGCACAAAGTTGAGGTAATTGGCTCTGTATTGCTTACATTTCAAAAGCAAGTGAATGTAATTTGGTAGAGTTCATTCACTAGATTCCAAAATGTAAATGATAACAACAGATCACAGTAAATGGAAATGTTTTTCATGGATTTTATAGAATTTCATATGCTGCCATGTACATAATTTAGGTTACTCTTTAGAATTCTTGTGAGCTCTAACTGAAGAATATATATTCCTGTTTTTGCATTCAGCAAATATAATTTCATTTTATGATGGCCAGTTATGTGTGAAAAATTCTTTCCTCTGTACTTCTATACGCAAGAGGTTTTGTAATATGCATAATACTGTGCAGAACTGAGGAAAAAGGATACTTCATCTTTTATAGTGATACTTCAAGTTCTAGAGATAAATCTGGGGAATCTATAAACTTGAAGATGTTCGTAAACAATAACTTCACTAATACTTGACCACCACTTTCGTCTTCAAGATATTTATGTTTATTTTAAATGGAGGAAATTTTTAATTTCCTAGTGATACAAAATTCATTTTAAATTGTCTCTTGATCTTCTGATGGCAACAAGTCGCCATCTTGTTGCCAGTGGGTCAGGGCACCAAACTGTTGAATTTGCAGAAAAATAACCAGAGACTTTTTTTGTCGAACATGGAGAAAATATGGGTATCATGTTTCTCATTCAAGAAGCCATTTGGTTTTCCCATGTTCCTCATATGCCCATGACTCTTGCTTGAATCAGTCTATGTTTAGCAAGTATAAAATGAGAACTGGACACTATTATTGCTTTTCCCCCCGAATAAAGTCCACAAGTCTTAAAGCTGTCAAGTTTGAAGATCTCTGCTTTACACTGTCCAAGAAACACCTAAACTAATTAGAATCCTTTACAATGAAAAAAATAAAATAAAAACATTAAATCATGTTCAATGGATGCACAGCTTTGTCTGACCAAGATTCTCACCCCTAAAGTCAATGAGTTCAAGGTCTGGAGACAGGGTTTCGGGAGTTTCAATGGATAAAGCGATTTCCTTCTTAAAAATTGATTCTTTTTTTTTAAAAAAAATGCCATTTAATCCCAGAATGCAGTTTTAACAGCTGTGATATTTATATTTAATAGAATAGAATAACAGAGTTGGAAGGGACCTTGGAGGTCTTCTAGTCCCAGGCAGGAAACCCTATACCACTTCAGACAAATGGTTATCCAACATCTTCTTAAAAATTTCCAATGTTGGAGCATTCACAACTTCTGCAGGCAAGTTGTTCTACTTATTAATTGTTCTAACTGTCAGGAAATTTCTCCTTAGTTCTAAATTGCTTCTCTCCTTGATTAGTTTCCACCCATTGCTTCTTGTTCTACCCTCAGGTGCTTTGAAGAACAATTTGATTCCCTCTTCTTTATGGCAACCCCTGAGATATTGGAACACTGCTATCATGTCTCCCCTAGTTCTTCTCTTCATTTATTAGTTCAATTTATTAGTTCAATTTATATGCCGCCTTTCTCCGGAGACTCAGGGCGGCTCATTAAACATACCCAGTTCCTGCAACTGTTCTTCATATGTAATCATATTTAATTATCAAATTTGTATTTTTTTTTATTTGTGGCATAAAATAACCAACAAATAAATATTATACAAAAGCCAATTAAAATTATTAAATGTAAATAAAAACAAGGGGACCAGAGAGATTACAGGGACGTAAAAAAGGGAGTTAAGAGTATTTACAAAAGGGAACACATCGGAATAGCACAGGTAGTCCATGACTTACAAGCACAATTGAGCCCAAGATTTATATTGTTAAGTGAGGCATTTGTTAACTGAGTTTTGCCCTGTTTTAAAACCTTTCTTGCCTCAGTTGTTAAATGAACCACTGCAGTGGATAAGTTAGTACCCTGGTAATTAAGTGAATCTGGCTTCCCCATTGACTTTGCTTGTCGGAAGATCTCAAAAGGTGATCACATGTCCTTGGGACACAGCAACGGCCATAAATATGAACCAGTTGCCAAGCATCTGAATTTTGATTACATCATCATGGGGATGCTGCAAAAGTCATAACTGTGAAAAACTATCATAAGTCACTTTTTTCAGTGCCATTGTAACTTTGGACAGTCACTAAATGAACTGTCGTAAGTCAAGGATTACTTGTACACATAATGCAGCAGTTGGGAATGGCATCAGAAAACATTCATTTCCTAGGTCCCACCACAACTTCTTAGCAAGATGCCTCTCCTGACAGATCAGATGGAACAGGTAGCTGTAATCAGGAAGAGGAGATCCTCAGATAATCTGGCTCCATGCCATGTAGGACTTTCAAGGACAAAACCAGCACCTTGGATGGTTATCTGGAAGCAAACTGGTAACCAATGCAGCTCTCGAGCAGAAGTATAATGTGTGTCCTTTCAGGGACACATATCATTGCCCATGTTCCTGCATTTTGCACTAGAGCAGCCCCATGTGGTGGCGCAGTGGTTAGAGTGCAGTACTGCAGGCTACTTCTGCTGATCACCAGCTGCCAGCAGTTTGGCAGATCAAATCTCACCAGGTCAGTAAAAATGAGGACCCAGATTGGTGGGGGCAATATGCTGACTCTGTAAACTGCTTAGAGAGGGCTATAAAGCACTATGAAGCAGTATATAAGTCTAAGTGCTATTGCTATTGCTACGTAGAATGCATTAAAGTAATCCATTTGGGAGGTGACCAGGGTATGAGTGACTGTGAGCAAAGCCCCATAATCCAGGAATGGGCACAACTAGCACATAACATGAAGATACACAAAGGGAGGAGAAATTCAAAACGAATGGAGAAATTATGATAATACACATAAATGTCTCTGATTTGGCAATCAGATGTGGAAAACAGCTGAACTGAACTTATAGATAGGAACAAATGAGGCTAAGCATAACTAAAATGGAAAT